AGTTTTTAAATTATATACATCATATTAATTTATGTATATATATCTGAATTTCGGAAATATGATGTACGTATTGGCTTTTAATTTCGGAGAGAGAAGAGAAGAGAAAAAAAAAATTAGATTTTGACGTATCAATAGCTGCAGCTACTGCAGGAATACGTGAGAGGTAGGTATATCACGATAGGCATAATAATAATATTATCATAGGATTATGTCGATTTTGGCCGAGCAATGGTCACTGACTCCGAAATTTGACATCGGATCTATGAGAAACTAAAAATATGTGTTGTTACCTGTATATGTCATTGGAAATAATTGCGTTACGGCGTCGTTATACGTACAAGTAGGTACTACGTAGTCCACCTATCTATATGGGAGAAAAAAATYTCTATCGATATTTCGTATTTTCCATTTAAGAATAATGTATTTCGTCGTTCGAGGTCGTATATTATTATATATTATGTGTTACATGCTTATTGCGGTTTTCTTTTCTTTCTCTATATTTTTTTCCTCGGTGAAAATCGTGTTTGGTGATATTTCCAATTTAAGGGTTAACATATATATTACCTACTATACAAGCGATTTTCACTTATTTTAAAACCTTTTCAATGCATTTTTTTTATTAACTTAACTTATTAATTAAAGTTAAGTTAACAAAACTAACATAATTTATTTATTTAAAAAAAAAAAAATTTAACCTAACTTAACTGAGTTAAAAAAAATCATTAACTTGCCCAGCCTTGCATATAACGATCAAAAGATTGCATAGGTAAAATAATAATTAAAACGTGGGAAAGAAGGTAGCTACTCTGCAATTTGTTGTGCAGTAAATATCGAGTGTATATGCATCTTGTCATTGATAAGTCATTGTAGTAGATTTGTTTGATTTGAATTCAGTGAAAAATCATTGCATACGAATAACGATCCTGAGATATATTTTATATATTAGATACCTGGTAGGTAGGTATAGGTATAAGGTATATTCGTATATTTATATTTTTAATTAAATTATTATTTTAAATACTAGGTACCTATTTAAAAACAAATTATTTAAATTAATAATTTGCTGATTATAATTTAAAAATATTTAAAAAAAAAAAGAAAGTTAAACTAGATATTTGGATAATAATCAAAATGGTAATGGTAAAGGTAAACAACAAGTAATTACTTAAATTAYTCAAATCTACGACTAAATAACAAGTAGGTAGGTATTACATTTTTAAAAATACGAAACACATTATTTTCTAAATCCATAGATTAGACTCTAATTTTTAATGACGCCCAGTGACGAGTACCTATCCACCTATCCACATAATAACCAACAGGCGCCGAGGCCCCTGAAAACCSTCTCACCACGCTAATGATTCTAGTCATCAGAAAAGTCGCTTCTCTTGATACATTTAAATAAATGTAGGTAGGTATCCTAACCTTATTGTTTTTAAATTAAATTGAYTTACACCCTGCAGTGATCACTGCTGTAGGTTTTGACTTCTGTTTCATTTTTATCAATAATTCTATTTACGGTAAACTGTGTTATTCTTTAAAAATAATCATTGTTTTGCACAGATAATTTTTTWAATTTTATCTGGAACGTATTTTTCACCATTGAGGTATTATTGATTAACTCATATAGGTGGGTATATG